ATAACAGAAAGAGGAAATACTATTAAAATATATTTTGTTTATATTGTAAGAATTATTTATAGGTATTTTTATAACTAAATGAGGCACTTGCCACATTAAAATACCATTTTGTAAGTTCAGAATATATCTATGAAATTTATATGTTGTATAAAGTCATCCTTTAAATTATACTTGTCAACTAACGTGCAACAAATTATATAATAATTCTTAATTATATAGTTACTATATTTATAATAAATACACATTAGCCTGTTTCAACAAAATATTTTCTTTGATGCAGTCTCAATTAACATTTGCTTAAAGGTTAAAGCAGCATCAGCATTACAAGGAAAGTTATATACAGATAAAGGCAAGAATACCATCATTATCATTTGCCTTCTTCCTACACTGTCTCTTCCTACTTGCTCCCACCTAACACTGAAACGTATGTTTTATAATGAGATGTGCCTGTAGAAGGAAAAACAATTGTACAAAAGGATTATATGCTGTATAGGGGAAAACGAATACACTCTTTTTGGTTAGGATCAGAAGGCTGGGGCCCAAAGGAACAAGTACAAATATTCACACTGCAATCCTTCACACTACCAGCCGCATGTTTCAAGCAGGGATACCTTCCTGAACACTTCTGCGGCAGGGTTAGAGCATATATCACAGTTTTTGATAATTCATGCTAACCTTTTACATTATGAATGTTTGTATCATCTTCCCAATCTGAACATTACAACTTTGCCTACAGAAGTTACAATATATGTTTTTTAAGGTATCCTTCTGGACATCGAATATAAACTCTTATGCTTGATACAGTTTCAAAATTTATTATATGGTAATATATTGAGAACAGTACTAAAACTAGGGACATCAGTAGAAAGTGATTCCTTTTTGAATGTATAGAGAATCTAGAATCATGAACAGGAATTTTCATAGTACTGCTTAATATACTATAGATATTTAATAACTTTCAACTCCCTGTAAAGAAATGATTCCTTCATCCTTCCTTTGTCATATTCTGTCACTTCAATTGTTTGACTTGGAAGTTTTTGACTCTTATTTTCACAAATTTATTACAGTGAGACTTGTAAAAGTCTTGGTTAAACTGAGATACAGATGGAAGAAAGCAAGCAATACCAGTGTCAATACATCCACAAATTATAGGTTCTCTCAAAATAATCCCACTGGGCTGAAATTCATTAGCCATACTCATAGTGAATAATTACACAGATTTAATTTCACAAGAAGCTACATACAATGTAGGGTATTAAATGCCACTAATGAATGTAGAATCAGGCCCATTGACGGAAACAGGAATGCAATCACTGCTGAGTATAAGACTTGCTGAAACAAACCCTATACCAGTATCCAAGGCATGCAATCTCAGTTCATACACTTTATCTTTACTTGTAGCCATTTGCTAAATCTTACTTGCATACCAACTACTCATCTCATTTACTTTGTGAATTATGTATGCTGCTTAAATCCACTTAAAACTGAAATCATCATGAGATGATGAAGTGAAGGAAACACATATGAGCATAATATTTACAGTAGATTTTCCACATCTGCCTGTTATTAACAAAGCATATCTATCATTTTACATTTTATCATTTTATCATTCTATCATTTTACATTAAAAGTCTCTGAGTGTTAGAAGAGTGGAAAAATAAATTTATTAAAACCAGTTAAACTAGACAGTAGAGTTTTGCTCTGAAGCTTTCTAAAGCCCGTAATGCCCCAACCCTCAGCCCCCAACATAAAAAGAAGTAATCAAGGTCCCAAATTTGAGAACCCTCTCTATCACCACCCCCACCCAGACTGTTTTTTCTCCTGGTATAAGTACTGTATTCTCTTTATTTTATTGTCATCATCATTACCATTGTTATCATTATTAAAGTGCTAAAGCTACAAGCTGGTCTTGCTATGTCTGAAGCCCACAGTTATTGGACGTGCTCCAGTTTACACCAATGTTACTAAAGCAATTTGTTTTTTTTATGGTGATAGATTTTTGTTTACAGTTCAAGAGGGAAAATATCACTTGATTTGCAGGGTGTGAGAAAATGATTTATGTAGCATTTTCTGACTACTGCAATCAAAATTGAAAAACTTATATTACACTGTGCACAGTGATCTAAGATCTCATTTATAAACCTAATATAACATATAATAGAATACTGGACAATCAATCAAGAAATTGAGACACTGATGACTAAATTATACAAAATGTGAAAGATTCATGACTGAACTGCTGAGGTTGGATTTCTTGGGTACTGTAAATATCAGAGAATTCAACCTACTTTACTGCAAGTTCATAAATTCAGTTTACAAACACGGAGTAAAACAGAAAAGAGAAATAAAAACACCATGAGTTAAACATTTCTCTCCTAAGAAACATGATTTTCCAATTTCATATTTTATCCAAGAATTCACTTCAATACATAAAGAAATAGAGTTCATAACGAAACTAACTATATGTTAATAGAAGTCATTTTCCATTTGCATCAGGAAATTAAAAATTATTTGTCTCAAAGTTACAAACTCTGAGCTTCAGTATTGCCTTCTGGTACAACAAATTATACCTGATTCTCACTTCTTATAACAACTAGTGATTCCAAGTAATTCCAGCTAGAAGATCTCACAAACCTCAAATTAATTTATAGATGTTGTTAATAGCTATTGTTTTCCATCACATAAAACATTAAATATATATATTTATATATATAGTGGAAAAATCAGGAATACTGCACTGTTTCAGTATGTAATAATGTGGCTTCTGGGTTAAGGCAAAGGCACCGAATATGAGGGATTCAAAAGCTCTGTTTCCCAAAATTGAACAGTGATGCCTGAGCACCATAGCCACTAGGACACTGATTCTTCATTTTCTTCCTCTGGAATTTCACTCTGTGGGGCAAATGCTATTGCTTTCTATGTGCTGGCACAGGGAGGCTCAGCATTCAAGCACAGCATCTACGTACAATTAAGGGTTTTTGACAGTTTCAAGTACAGCTGAACTATGGAAAATTTGTACTAAATCTTTGCTGGAAGTTCTGTCATGTCTAAGAGGGCTTTACGGGCTGTCACTGAGATTCAGCAGATCATCCCATTGACCCGTCTACAAATATAGTTTGACGACTGTCTTGCAGAAAACTGTGGGAATGGATCTTCCTCTTCTCCCACTCATCAGCTCAGGGGGAATCACTATAAAATAGAAATATGTGAGTTGCCTCAGTCTCTGACACTTCTGGCTAATTCCTTTTCTTACTGTACTAACCACAAATTCTGAAGTTTCAGAATGTATTGTAATAATACATTCTTCTACTTTCTCAGCATAACTCTTACTCACGGATAGTTAACCATTGCAGTTGTATTTCTCACTAATAAATACAGTAAAACAATCAGCTCATCAGGTACCATATGCAATAGGTCATTTTCCTCTGTACAGACTGATAGAAGCAACATTATAATCAGCTACATAAACATATACATATAATAAACATAATCAGCAACATATACATACAAAATGAAAAACATATCTAACCACATGTTAAATCCAAGGATGCTAGGAGAATATAAGGGCCTCTCACTGACTAGATGTCAAAGATAATGATGGTATCTCTAAGATATAAAACAAATCCTACAAGACATCAGAAAAAGAAGGAAAAAACAAACAAACGACAAAAAAAAAAAAAAAAAAAAAAAAAAGGTTTCACAAATTCTATATCCTAGAAAACATGTCTCTCTATTTTTAAGTCATCTCAAATATTTTACTCTGACAGGAAAAGAACATTAGAGACTTTTATATGAAGTATATTTGAATATATGTGGAAGCGAAAAGGCAACAGCAACACATTTGAAAATAAAATTACATACTGCAGGTTTAGTAATCCGACTGTTAAAAACACTAGACAATCATTGACTGTGAAATTTATACTTTTCAAATTATCAACCATTTAAATCTAAATGCTGATATTTCTTTTTTTATATATAGAATCTGTAAGAATAATGACTGATATAAAAATCATTGTACAAAAATTCCTTGACACTTCTTTTAAAAAATGAAAGCATTTAAACCATTTTCTTCCTAAATTAGCTAACGCCTGTATTTCTTAAGGTATGTACTGTGAAATTAACTTTGTTACTAGCATCTTATTTATATTCACTATTTTTTTTATATTATTTATATTTATATTCACTATTTTTTTTATATTATTTATATTCACTATAAATAATGGTAAATAAATTAATGGTTTTTGAGGGAGAAGGCAGAGTGATCCAGGAGGATACAGGGGTGGTGAAGGAGAAAGGGAGAGTAAGCAAGTAAGAAAAAATATTCTCCCCTTTCCCCTCCACAGATTGACTCCCTAATGGAAAAAAACAATAGGTATAATTGCTAATAGTTTCCAAGATACAGTTTCCAAAGTACAGAGTCGACGATGTTACTGAATACAAATAACAAGTTAGAGTCATGACCAGATATTTCATCGTCTCATAAGCCATTGCTACAACACACAGTACCATAATGATCTGAAACCAGGGCCCGGAGAGGATAAACAACACGACAGAGAGCAAATACGGAAAATAACATACTATAATACTCAATTTGGAAAACAGGCGCAGCAGAGTTGAGATTAAAGCAATCAGCATTATGACAAGTGACTATTAAGCAGGTCTAATCCTTACACCAATTTTAGTTTAACACACTCTGGTCAGATCTGCCGTTATCTCAACCTTTCGGGCCCCACGTTGGGCGCCAAAAAGACTGTCGTGGTTTAACCCGGCCGGCAGCTAAACACCACGCAGCCGTTCGCTCACCCTCCCCCCTCCCTCCCTGGGACGGGGGAGAGAAATGGAAAGTGAAGCCCGTGAGTTGAGATAAAGACAGTTTAATAAGACAGGAAAATAATAATAACAAAATAATAATAACAATAATAACAATAATAATACAATGGTGATAATAGGGAAATAATAATAATATGTACAAACAAGTGATGCACAATGCAATTGCTCACCACTCGCTGACCGATGCCCAGCCTAACCCCGAGCAGTCCGGCTCTCTCCCCCCGGCTAGCCACCCCTATATATTGTTTAGCATGACGTCAGATGGTATGGAATACCCCTTTGGCTAGTTTGGGTCACCTGTCCTGGGTCTGTCCCCTCCCAGCTCTTACTGCACCCCCAGCCTGCCCGTTGGCAGGACAGAGCAAAAGGCTGAGATGTCCTTGGCTTAGTATAAGCACTGCTCTGCAACAATTAAAGCATCGGGGTGTTATCAGCACTCTTCTCATCCTAAGCCAAAACACAGCATTCCACCAGCTACTAGGAAGAAAATTAATTCTGTTCTAACTGAAACCAGGACATTTATTTAAACTGTGGAAGAAAATTCTACTGCAAAAAATATACTATTACAGCAAAAATTTGCCAGGGAACCAAAGAAAGACCTTTTCAATTTTATCCAAGTTTTCTGTCTGTAAAACAGGAGTACTTTTCTAATTATAGAATCTTCCCTACTGACAGCTCTCATCTTATGCAGGTCTGCCAAAGGTGCAACCATCAAAGCATGTGGTAGAAAAGATTCACATAAATCTTGTACAAGGAATAGTAGTAAGTAATGAAAAGTGCTCTAGCAGTGTATGTTTGAAAATTAGCCAGAAAATCTCTTCTGGATTATAAACATCCCTATTTTCCTATTTCTCAAAGAGGCAGTCTTCTGTAATGTAACAATTCTCAAATGAGAGTCACATTCTGTCCTTTGGACATATGAATTCTGTTTTATTTAGCTCGATTCGAAAAAAATTTTGAGCTACCACAAATGGTTTCTAATAAATATCTATGTAATCAATGGTTAGGGCTCTGAAAATAGCAAAGCTTCAGACTAAACTTTCTGAAGTTTAAGAATCCTGAAGTTTAGGAATCCTTTTGAAACTAGCTGTCTAGAAACCCTTTAGGGCAAAGACAAGTGTTTCTCCAGGTCAGTTTGACCTATCCCTCCTTTGATACCCAGATAAATTTATATATATATATGTATATATGTATATATATATATATATATATATATATATATGATGTTGCCATACCTACTTCATTAAATGAGGCCTTAGGCACTTGAATAAATAATGTCTAAATATTTGGATAATAGCCAACATTTTAGTTGGCTAAATAAAGTGAGAATAATCATAGGATTATTTTACACCATAGGTGGTGTAAAAGAGTTGAGGCCTTTATAATAAATTCAAAGAAAAAAATTTACTCTTGACTTCATACTGTCTCTGTTTCACAAGACAGTGTGACTGTGGAATACTCATACTCTACCTAGGTTTCTTCCCTTCCTTCCCCTTCCCCTTCCCCTTCCCCTTCCCCTTCCCCTTCCCCTTCCCCTTCCCCTTCCCCTTCCCCTTCCCCTTCCCCTTCCCCTTCCCCTTCCCCTTCCCCTTCCCCTTCCCCTTCCCCTTCCCTTCCCCTTCCCCTTCCCCTTCCCCTTCCCCCTACCCTTCCCCTTACCCATCCCTTACCCTTCCCTTACCCTTCCCTTCCCCACCCTTCCCTTCATAGATATATATGTGGTATACATGTATATGTTTCTATACAAAGTTTTTAGACAAGGTATACAAGATTCTATGTTTGACCACAAAACTAACTGAAGAAACTCATCTCCAGTTCCTTGCATTGAATTAAATAGGCTTTGCGAAGGTATTAATAAACTTTAAAAGAGTTAGACATATATGTTTTTGTGACCTTAAAAATAGAAAATTACATAACATAGTATATCCCTTTTAAAAAATAAATATTAAAAGACTTCAATTATTTGGGAACCACAATAAAGTGAACAATGAAGTGCAACACTTCACTGTGGTGCTATGGCATATGACAGTGGCTGGCAGTGGCATGGCTCTACATTGTTTTACAAATAATTTTATCCTATTGATTTATTTTATGGAGAACAGAAGGCACAGACTAACCAGCTTGAACTAATTTCAGATTCTTACAGGTCCATAGTAAACTTTAATATGTGTCAGAACATCACAACATTAAATGGCACCAACATTGTGATATACTTTCAAAACTGAATGTTCATGTTTCTGTTGCCTTTCACTTCTTGAACTAGAGAACATTTTAGGTAATGTAACAGATATTGTTCTGGAATATGCACTATGTTCAACTTGATATTTTAACATAAACAAAAATGATGCAAAAAGACATGGTATAGTTATTTATGTCTTCATTTGTAGTGACATACTTTTTTTTTCTCATCAAACATTCTTCATAAAACATATATTTTTGGATCAAAGGGCTGACATCTATCCTTACTTTTTCTCCTGCGAAACACATATTTGCATGGTAAATAATTATTTTCATTCACTAAACATGCATGGCAATCTATTTACAAAAGACTGAGCACTGGAACACCTTGCCTAAAGAGGTTGTGGAGTCCCCTGCCCTGGTGATATTCAAAAGCTGTCTGTACACGGTCCTGGATAATATAGTCTAGGGAGCCCTGCATGAGCAGGAGGTTGGACTAGATGATCTACAGAGGTCCCTTCCAACCTCAATCATTCTGTGATTCTGTGATTACATACCATTAAGAGAGCATGTTATCTTCTTCCTTTTGTAGTTTTGTTTTAACTTCACTGTTATGCTACTAATCATAGAGTCATGGTGCATAACACATGAATTCTAGAAACACCTTTATTTTAAGACACCTCGTTTTCTAGGAACATCCAGACCACTAATCTAAATCCTAAATTAATTCAAATATGTTAATCCTGTCTGCTTTGCAGAAAAAAAAAATAAAAAAAAAAATAAAAAAAAAAAAAAAAAAAGGATTAATAGACTCTTACTTTTAGCGGCACAAAAAATACTTTCCTACACAGAGCAGTACAACTAGTTAATAGATCATGGTCAGTGCATCAGCCAAATAGTCTGTGTATAGTCAAAAGAAGGTTTTTGTACTATAAACCAGAAACTATTCTCTGTGCTCTGTTAGATACCTGAGGAAACATCTTAGCTCGTCTGGGCCAAGAGTAGTAACATGACTTACTCCATTCCACAGACTGTGGAAATTGCCTTGCTCTTAGTACTTTTCTTGAAGACCTCTCCAGACAGTGTCATGGTACATTAATTATTTAGTGTATAAATAATTAATCAAAAGATTGGTAAGACATGACAGGAGAAAATGATTTATTTTCTCAAGGTAGGGAGGTTACCAGTAGCATCCTGCAGAGATCTCTAAGGGAACCTGTGTGATTCAATATATTCTCAAAAGGGGTGAATAATGTGACAAGATTTGTTATTGATACTAGGCTTCCTAAAGCTAGATGGGGACTCGAGGAAGAACTACAGAAACACTTTTCAATACTGCAGATGAAAATCAGTGTAGATAAATGTAAAATGGTTTATGTTGGATAGGGGAAATCAAACCTAATGTAACTGACAAAACAATGGACTCTCAACTAACCTAGCTCATACAAAAAAAATGGAACTATAGCAGATAGATTAAAAAAAAATGTTGGTTTACTGTTCAGAAGCTGTTAAAATAATCAATTTGAAGCTAGAAACTATCAAGAGGGAAATAAATATATAAATAAACAGGAAACAATGGGATTTATGCCACACTATGATTACATGTTTCAGTACCATCCTGAATACAGTATCCATTTCTGGGTACTCATACCCTCCATCTAAAAAAAAGATTCAAAGGAATCTCAGAGGAGGTACAGAATAACAATGACAAGAGTGACTTGTAACAGCTTCTGTGCAGTAAACAGTGGAAATGCAGGAACAGGTGATTGAGAGAGATACAAAAGAGGCCAACATGGCCACAAGGGATAGTGTGGGAAAAAAAAAAAAAAAGAAAAAAAAAAAAAGTTGACCTTACTTTCAAAACAAGAATTAAGTAAAGCCAGATGAAAATAGATGATGGCAGTTAAAAAAAAATAATTTATTTTTTTTTCTTTTGCATGATGGATAGATGAACTAGAATAAAAGACACAGGAGACAGAAGACAATAATAGTTTGTAAATGTTGCAAAACTAATTTGATTTTTCCTCCAAGGATACATACTCTGGTATGTATCAAATGTACTTACTTTGTTTCATTCCTATATTCTTGCCTAGATTTGGCACACTTGGAGAGGCTACAAGGCTAGATAGATCGTTGATATCTCACAGCACAATCATTATGTTCTTATGTCAGTTCTGATCTGCTCTTGGCAGCACTGTACATGAATTTGTGCCAGGAATTAAATGTTTGCCTCATTGGAAATGTTGTCCAAATGAACCTCTATTTCCTTCTCATCTGTAAAGGAGGAATATTGACTTCTTTCACATAATTCAGTATTAGAACTCACACATTGGTGTCAGACTATTTCTCCTGGGGCTTGAAATGTAGCAGGGAGAGAGGCAGCTCAAGGAATCTGAAAATCTGAAACCCTGTCCTGGATAAATGCTCTGACTAAAAGGATAATTAAAGAGAAAACAAACAAAAATCTAAACAAACAAACAAACAAAACATAACTGTGTATTAAAAGATTATTTCTTCATGTTTTGCTAGTAGTGTATAACTTAAATCAATTCTTGCTGAACTGCAATATCAGATGGGGATAAAATGCATCAGAATATTTCAATGTTGTGCTAATTTTCAGGAAAGGCAAGAAAGAAGACCCCGATTACTACAAGTCTGTCAGTCTCACATCGGTGCCTGGTAAAATTATGGAGAAGATTATCCTGAGAGTTACTGAAATGCATCTGGGGGACAATGCATCCTACTTGGGTTTGTTCAGCCTGGAAAAGAGGATGCTGGGGGGAGACTTCATGGTAGTTTACAGCTTCCTCATGGGGCAGAGAGGACATGTGCTAATCTCTTTATAAGGGGTAGGTTCTGTTTAACAAATTTAATTTCCTTTTATGATGAGATAACCCATCTTGTTGATCAAGAGAAGCCAGTTGAAGTAATCTTTTTGGATTTTAGTAAAGCTTTCAATATGGTTTCTCATAGGATCCTAGAGGACAAAACGTCCAGCATACTGCTAAACAAAAACATAATACAATGGCTGAACAATTGGCTGATGGG